CTTAGAGTGCTGTGTGGTGCCCTGAGCACTTTTGTTTTGTCTTACAGATATACCAAAAAACATTTTAAAATACAGGACATTAGATCAGCAGACATCTCCAGTGAAGACAAGGTTAATGGGTCCATGAAGTAAACAGCTACACAGGGAGTCCAAATGTGCTGTTATGAGCATGTCTTCTGGATGCCAAACAAGCTTCATTGTCCCATTGGAAACATTTGGGAAATAAGTCTTTAATCTGTTACTGAAACAGATTAAAGCTCAGATTAGAGCTCAAACAATACACTATTGAAAAACAACCAAAAAAATTTCAGATTTCTACTTTGTCACCAAGTTGAGCCCAGCAAACATAAAATGAGGTGTGTTGCTAAAGATTTACTTTTTGAGAAGACAGAAGGGATGGAACATCCTCGCGCCCTTAGTGGCGGCCGTGTCTGAGCGGTGCCACTGAGCCCCGCAGCCTGCTCCTGAGCACCTTCAGGAACTCACCCACCCCTGGGTCGGTAAAGAGACTTGCCTGCTTATCTTTATAATATTGTTACTATTGCAGAGCAGAGGCTTTAGGGATGAGATGCAGAAATGCTTTAAATCAGCAGGCTCTTTTTCCTTGCCTTAATTTTTTCTTTTCATTTCCAGCAAACTAGCAGCTGCTGTTTTCTTCTTTAAGAGAAGTCTATTTCTCCGTGCCCTTTGGTGGAACAATCACTGATGATGTGCAGTCTGGGAACTACCTGACAGGGCCACGGGGTGCGCAGCACAGCCGTGTGTCTGCTGCTCCGTCAGTGTCCCCTGTGCCCCGGGCGAGAGGGACCTTGTCCCGGCTCCGTGCTGAGACCCCTCCCCGCTGCTGCCGCCTTGCTGCTCCCGCAGCCCCGGGCCTCGATCCGGTGCTGACCCCTGGTGGCGAGTGACCCGACAGAGGTGGCGACAGCTCCCTCTGCCCCCGGGGTGGCCCCTGCCCGGGCCAGGGCAGCCCCCGCAGCTCGGCGTGCCTGGGGCTGGGGGCTCGGGCGGGCGGGAGCAGGGTGCGGTGTGCGGGAGAGGGGGGGCTGCAGGTCTGGCCGTGGTTTCTGGGCCAGGTTCTCACATTTTTAGGTCTACGTGCATGGAGTAAACTGAGCCTCATGACTTTTATTCCTGCAGCGGTGTCGTCTCTCCCTCCGGATCTCTGCAGCTCTTACAGAACAGCTTCCAAAACGCAGCGTAAACCTCCCGCCGCGACCGCTCCTGGCACAGGTCAGTGCCTGGTGTGTAAACGCTGGGGCACCGCTTCTCTGCAGAGTAAACATCCTCTTCATCGGTGGGCGAATACAACCCAAAGTTTATTTTCTTTTTTGGGGTTGTTATGTGCTTGTTCTGCTTCTTTGTGAGCTTGGAGCAGTTCAAGCTGTTAACGTTGCAGTTCATCACTGAGCTGTCTGGTATCGTGGTGAGTGAGAAGCTGAACACGAGCAGACAATGTGCACTTGCAGCCCAGAAGGCAAATAACTGTGTCCTGGGCTGCATCAAGAGAAGTGTGTCCAGCAGGTCGAGGGAGGGGATTCTCCCCCTCTACTCTTCTTTTATAAGGCCCCACCTGGAGTACTGTGTCCAG